TGATATTATAGTTAAAGGTTTACAGGGCTGAACTGGAATAGATTGTTTGAAAGTCCAACCCTTCGAAATCCGTTGCTTGTTGAAGAAAAATGATTTTTGTATAGGTGTCGATTATTTTAAAGAAATTGATAATCTACAAAGAACATAATTATAAGAGTGAGTTTCATATATTTATATCATGTAGCGAGTGGAGGGGGACTGGTATTCTTTAGAGGAAAATAACTATTAATTTTGAGGGACTACATTTGTATCATAGCGGGAGGGAGGACTAGTGTGGGTCGTTTCATTTTGTTGCTTTTGTACTGCATTTTAAGTTATATCGAACTTTATTTGTCTCAAAAAATCCTTTAAAGACAAAAATTATAATTGGAAATAATTGTTTTTATCTCAATAATAAAGGCAAAGTTAAATTAAATGGCATCTTTTAAAACTCTGATCTTGTGACATCATTGTTTTGCTTGAAGGCATCTAATACATCAAGTAGGGTGTAGTAAACAATAGTCGCACTTCAGACATTCAACTTCAATGGAATAATCAAGCCGCCAATGGCAACATAGGCATCTAATACATCAAGTAGGGTCTAGTAAACAATAGTCGCACTTCAGACATTCAACTTCAATGGAATAAAAATGCCAATAATAAGACGTTTTGGATTACAATTGTTTTTCTCCGAGAATTTTTTTTAAATAAAAGCATGACGAAGGGTATTCCAAAAAACTATTCTAAAGAAAATCGATCTGTTTCGGATTTTTCCCTGACTTATTATGACTAGTTTCCCTAACACATTGAATATGTTTTAACTGAGATACATTCTTTTATCATTATATTTACCAAAAGGTTTTTTTAGTTTTCGAGCCGTTTTTAACTCGAAGATGCAAAGCAATCGAAGAGTTATTGGAGGGTACRAATCTATCACTCATTCACTCACTCGTTCACTGAGTCACTCACTTTCCTGTAAACTTTAGCCTGCGTTACTTGTGTTCAGAATTATTAATTAACTCTAATTGTTTTCTAGTAATTTATTCACTAATTTTCCGTTACAGGATTCCCTGTGCTATATTTGATTGAATTTATTCATTTTTTGGCAAATAAAGAAATCAAAGAAATATCAACTTATCTGGGACTCGAACCCTGGTAATCCAAGCCACTATACCACTCGACTACGCGTGCAATTGTTGCACAATTAAGGCTAGACTTGTCTTTTAACTAGCAGGCGCTCGCCCCTGCTTGTCTACAATCGAAGTTAAAATCATAAGATTTTACCAAAAAAAACTGTGTTCATAAATCGTTCACTTAAAATTATAAGTGATTATAACTGAATTTGATTCATCGTACACTCGTTCTGTAGTCTGGCAGCTTGATTTTTTTATTATTCTCTCCCTACAAACCAATTTAAAAAAAGGTTAAATAAATACATACAAACAAACAAACAAAAAACAATTTTTGGGTAGCCGCGCCTTTGATGAGATGAGTTCTAATTGCTTTATAATATTAATTCTACTGTTATTGATGTTATTTTCCGCTTGTTTAGGAGTCAGTTATTTTTATGAAATATTCTAATCACACAATTTTCAACCAAAGTTTGATAATACTAANCCTTCTAAAAAGCTTTCTCACATGGCGATGATTTGGGGTCAATTTCTTGATCATGACATCACACAAAGTGCTGAATCAGACGTCGATTGCTCTCATGAGTGTGGTCCAAAAGGAGATTGTTTCGGCATAGCCATTCCTGAGGGCGATAATGCGTTTAAAGGACGATCTTGCATTGAACTAAAAAGGAATGTTCCCGTCTGTCGCAATAGCAAACTTCCGCGTGAGCAGATAAACACTTTGAGCGCATACATTGACGCATCTGGTGTCTATTCAAATGACGAGAAAAAGTTCGAAGAACTTCGTGATCCTAAGAATAAAGCTCTACTTATCGAAAGGAAAAACAGGCGTGGTAAAAAACTTCTGTCYGCGGAACAGGATCCTAAGGCTTTTTGTCGTTCGCCAAAACCAACAAAGCAGCCATGTTTCKGAGCTGGCGATGCAAGAGTCAATGAAAATTCAGGTAGGTATTGGAATTGTTGCCCTTTGAATCAATCAGGTGGAAGGTAGAATGATTATTTACCTTAGTAAAATGGTACTTCAAGAATTATGCTTTCTCCTGTTTGATGATGCAACTTTATGTTTTCCCTAAATTTTCCCAATGTCGCCTTATGCTGCTTTTTTGACATCATTATTATCATTATCATTATCATTATCCCAAAAGTTGCTGTTAAAAGAACTGAAGCAGAAAAGTTCACTGCATAATCATAACCGCAAGCGTTGCAGCAAATTAATGGAGCTTTCCGTTCCAAGTGATAACGTGCTGCATATATACGACATAACTCGATGCTACACACGGACTCCTTTTGAGATTGATAAGTCTATTGATTTTAACTGTGRTTGTGTTTTCAGGACTTGCATCAATGCATACCATCTTCAACCGTGAGCATAATCGTATCGTTACAAAACTTAGATGGAGTAGACGATACAGAAATCGACCGCAGAGTTTGTTCTTAGAAGCTCGTAAAATAGTTGGTGCGATGATACAGCATATAACATATAACGAGTTTCTGCCTGGCATTTTGAGTGAAAGAGAGGTAAATCACTGTTTTTTAGACCCATGTCTGTCTCCRACAGGAACGAGTCAAATAGTAAAGAATGAGCCAAAAAATAAAGCCTATATAGCCAGAGGAGACTAGACTGTTAGTCCACTGTCTTTCCTGGTCTGCAACACGCGGAGTTTTTGCCAAACCGTAAGCTAAATCACTAGTAAAATGGTTCTTCCTTCCCTGTCTTCCTTCTTTGTTGATCTTATACTAACAATATGTRCTTTTTTTAACAGCGAACACGGTTTCGTTTGCGCTTACGTCTACTGTCAGAAAAGCCGTACTTTTATTTGAAACGGTTTGAAGACAGGCGGTACAAACCAGATCCTTCAATCTTCAACTCCTTCGCCACTGCTGCTTATCGCTTCGGACACAGCTTGGTACAAAACCAGTTAAACCGGTTCCTCAGCTATGATCGTAACATTTCCAGCATCCCAATGGATCGATTTTTCGACACAAGTTTCTTGTACCAGAAACGTGGTGTTGATTCGATTTTAAGGGGGCTGGTACGAGACAAATCACAGCAGGTCGATGGGTAAGTAAAAGTGTTTATCAAAGCGAGATGAGCTATAAATTGTCCTTTYATACTGACTGGATGTTGCAAGTGGTTTATGTTATCACTACGTCTTTTACTTGTAGTGTTTAGTAGCTAAAAGTCCTCTCATGACTTACTTTTATGTGATTTACTGTTACAATTCAATTTCTAAAGGGGAGGGGGGAGGATAGGGGGAGAAAGCTGGTAGGGTTGGGGAGGGGGGTAAGGTGGTCGATGGACCTTAGTGTTTAGGGTCTCCTACGAACAGTGAATCAGTTTATGAAACATTACACAGGATTATGCAAATTTGAACAGTGTTCTGTGTATAAAAATAGCATTATTTTTTCTAATGAAGATGTGCCTTTAGGTCGTGAAATCAGTTAATTTATCATTACCTTTGAGGGTCATTTTCAAAGCAGGTCGTTCTGTACTCTACCCCGAAAGCCATTCTTTTTGACTTATGCCTTTTAACATCGTGTAGTTTTCAAATCTCATTTTATCTATATCATATCTTAGGTCCTTTGCAAAAGCGGTCCACGAAAGGTTAGTAAGATTTGCCAACGATATGGCTGATTTGCCGGCCCTAAACATTCAACGAGGTCGTGATCACGGAATTCCTGGATACAACCGCTTRAGAGAACTTGCAGGCTTAAGGAGGGCAAAAGAATTCAGCGACCTCAGAGACGTAATGACGGATGAACAGATCAGGAAACTTAGGAAAGTGTACAATCACGTTGATGACATCGATTTGTTTGCTGGTGGAGTGTACGAGAAACCCTGCGATGACGATGGAGCCGTYGGAAAAACCTTCAGCTTTATCATTGCCCAGCAGTTCCACAATCTTCGTTTTGGTGATCGATTCTGGTACGAAAATCGCGGTCAGTTTACCCCGCGTCAGCTTCGAGAAATCAGGAAATCTTCGCTAGCCAGAGTGATTTGCGACAACAGTGACGGAATCAAGTTGATTTACCCGAGAGTCATCACCCCGGGAAAAAGGCGKGTACAGTGTAGAAGGTTACCGAGAATCGACTTGAGAGCGTGGTTTTGAAGTCCTGCAACACATGACCCAAACCATTTCAACAAACTAGGCTGARTTAATTTCCCTTATTCCACAAATACTTGCACGTAGGCACTGTTCATTTTGATTTTTTGATTTTTGTARTTCTTACAAAACGTTTTACGAGTCTAATAAACACTTAATAATATAACAAGTTTGCTGCGTCCTTAGTCTCCTTAATTCTTAATGTTCAAATCTAAAGCAAAACTGAACACACACTGGAAATCAAAACCCTAAGCAATTAAAAACAATAAAAAATCAATTCAAAACAAACATGTTTGTGATTTCTTCAATAGTTGGGATTTTGTTGAAAAACTGCCGAAGGAAGGTTTTCTCTATAATCCAGTTTCGAATTCTCCAATGCTCTGTGTTAGCCTCATTCGTGCACAAAATATTCCTAATTGTGAGAATAAAAGTGTGAGATTTCAAATCATTTCTATTGTCTTTCTTTTCAAATTCCATGCGTTTTCTCGGGCTATCAATGAAACAAAAGAATACGTTGTTTGGTTTTGAGGCTAACACACAGCAAACCAGAACTCGTAATCGGAGTATTGCGCATGTTTTCTGATTTCTGACCATACGCATGCGCAAGTTGGACACTCGTTGGAGAGAGAAGTGGAGAGAATATTACTCATCACAACATAGGCCGCCCAACTAATGCATTAGAGACAGAAAAGAAGGAATGCGTACGCTTTTATTATGTATATATATCGGCGCGCGCTCTTAGCAAAAATGCGGATTACCTGTGGTGCTACGTCACGATCGCGCGCCTCGCGGGTATACTATAATCTTGACAAGGTATGAAACACTGGTCACGTGACAAATCTTATTTTGCCCCTATCTCTCCAACGATAACAGTAAATGACAATTTTACCTACAATAATGATGTGTACTATGATTTTCCAACTACTTTATGAGTTTGAGTCTTTGGGATTTGTTTTACGAGAAGAAAATGATAATGAAGCATTTGGCTCGCCATGGACCGATGTGTGCCCCAGGTAGACGGGACACTTTTTCGGAGAACGCTCGGGTTTTTACATTCGCGAAGGCTTCGGATGGTTTCGAGAGCTGTCGCAAAGTACGAAAGTGAAACGAAAGGCTTTTGTAGCTGTCGACGAAGGTTCGGCTTTGGTGACATCAACATCTTACGGATTTACTTGCGTAAAAGTTCGAGCAAAAATATGGCCGGAGACATTGTTACGTCTGTGGCATCAAAATTATTGCAAACATATATGAGGTATGAAATCCATGCCGAAATCCTTTTCATTCAGCTTTTTTTT